TTAAGAATTATAGCATAGTCAAATAAACGGTCCATTAGTCATATATCAATTTCAGTCAAGTCTTGTCGGGGATACTCTATTTGCAAAGTCCGTGTTGAATAGCCAATGTCAGTTCACTTACAATAAATCAGTCCAATCTTTATCTTCTCTCCGTTGAGAATATCAACACTCCTTTTTCTCTCCCCGTTCCAGCAAGAACGCAGTCATCAATCCATCCAGTAATTAGGGATCTTCAAGCCAGAGAGAGCGAGCTGCAATTGCCTCGCTTCTTCTATAGTGCTTTTACAACCACACCCTTAATTACAGTCTTGCTGTTAAAGTTACACACACTTTAACTAACAAACCATGATACCATATTTATTATTTTTACCCAAACCAGTTAGGGTAAACAATGTTATCCCTAACAGTGGTCCCGAACCAGATGGTGCACCTAGTGCTGGCATCCACTGGCATTGGACCCACCCCTGACCAGGATAGAATTCCCAGCTTGGGGGAATGCCCTCTGCAGTGGGTAGCCTCACCGCTGGCTGATGAGGGGGAGGAATTTGAGGTTCTAACATCCCAAATGTTGGGTGTGTTTGCTGTCTCTCCTTGCCGCTTGCCCCTGCCATGCTGAACTGATTCTTCAGCCACCTCCAGCCGAGAGGAATGTTGCCGATGCCATGCTGGTTCCACTGTCAGGTCCTAGACCAGGAAAAGTGATCATGGGTTGAATTAATTTCCAGTTCGGCTGGAGAGGTTGTGACTGTGGGACATAACACCCCACTTTAAGTCACTCAAAGTGTTCTGGAAGCTCTGCTAATGATTGGCTATGGGATGGGGGCAACAGGTTCCAATCTTGGTTGTTGTCACATTCAGCAGGCTCCACGCCTCTCCATTCTGGCTCATGGCCCGAACTCTTTGGGCTAGAGTAGGAAAGGTGTTCAGGCAGCTCCTCCTCCGGTCCCATCTCTGGATTCAGCTCAGTCTGGCAGCTTCTCCCAGAATCCTTTTCTTTGGGCCAAGTGCCTAGCCTTCGTCTTTCTCCTGCAGCTTCAATGGCTTGCACAAATTCTTCAGAAGGAGGGCACCAGGTCTCAATCAGTCCTCTGGTATCCGTTCCCACTGCTTCTTCTGTGATTCCCTCCTTCTCCTCCATCTTCGCTGAGTCTTTGCACTGCCCAAGTTTTAGGTTGGTGCTAGGGGTCAGCATCCCTGACAGCCCTCTTTTGGGGTGTTGGTAGCTATTTAGAGATTCGGGATAGAAAATCTCCACTCCAACAAATAACTCTGAGACAAACATCTTCTCAAAAGTTCTGTTTTATTTGAATATTGATTTGGATAGTATTTGGCACATCTGGAGAATCTGAAAGTTTCAGGCTTCCTTGCAGTAAGTAAAAACTACAAATCCACCCCCTGCACCCATCATCGCATCACATGTCCCAATCACCACTCATCCCAACTTGAGACGTCCCCTCACCCAGGTGCAGAAATAACATGACCTTGACTTAGAAGAAGAATGCTATTATGTATTCTTCTTAAGCATACACTTCAAGAAATTCTCTCCTCCAATTTTCCCAGGCTCAAGAATGTGACAGTGTGGAAGTATCTGGTGTCAATATGGCTTCCAAGGCTGACATAAGCATAGTGTATGCTTACTGCTTTGTGTCAGCTTTGGAAGCCATATTAGCACCAGAAGCTTCCATGCAGCCACATTCCTGTGCCTGGGAAATTGGGAAGGGGGATTTTGTAGAGTATGTAGTTAGACATAATAGCATTCTTCCATGTAAGGATGAGGAGTGGTTGGGAGATGTTTCCAGTTGGGATGGATGGGATGGACCATGTGATGGGTGCAGGGGATGGATTTGTGTTTTGAATTATTGTGGGGAAATCCCGGAACTCTCAGATTCAGGTTTTCCCAGATGTGCCAGTATGACTACTCTAATAAAATGGAACTTTGAGAATATGTCTGCCACGGAGTTTTGGTGTTGGAGTTTGATTTTTCTGGAATGCTGACACTTTGAATTATTTATAAAAATAATAAAGGAGAGATAAGAAATTAATAAAAAATTTTAAAAAATAACCATAGTTTGGGACTCAGAAACATACATTAGTAGCAAACAAGACCTGGAACTTGTGTGCTTGGACCATCTTAGGAGCAACTTCCATCCCAGATGTTTTTGAGCCAAACAAAGGAAAAACCTGAAGGAAGCATCTGTGTTCCTTTTCCACTTTCAAAGTGGCTCCCATGTAGAATATATGGGATGTCTGTATGGGAGCCACTATGAATGTGGAAAAGGATCCTTCTGTAGATGGCAAAATAATCCTTTCCTTCTATTTACACAAATATTTGAGGCATAGGGTAGTTCAGAGTACATGCTTCAGGGATCAACATAGTTCCTTTAATTAAGAATTGATTCCTCCAGGGATCTGAGATTAGAACACCTTCTTTCTTTGCTAGTTTGTTCCATCATTCAGTTCCCCTAAAATAGGGGTAGAAACTGGCTTCCTTCCATTCTGGTCCTGCTAGTCCAAAAAAGATTATTTCTGTTTCTCATACTGAAATGACAAAGTCTTGGTTTTGGATAGCCGTTCTACATTCTGCTTCTCTGCCTGTTCATGAATTCAACAACATATCCTTGGTATTTGGTATCATTGTTATTTCTTTTTCCTGTTCCAAAATAACATAGAAATAATTTCTTTTTGGATACAGAAGTAAAAAGGAGAATCATGCAAATTATATTCATGAATCATGGCAAATTGTCCTTCCCCAATCTGGAAGACTACAACTAGTTAGGGGATAAAATGATCACTTAGAGCAAATATATCTTCAGAGGCCAAAAGCCACCAGGAGAAGCTGACTTTTCAACAGAAAATTGGCACAATGCCCCACTCTAGATCAAAGGAATGCTTCAGACCACGACCTATATCTACTATTTTCTTTATGATAACCCATGTTTGAGATAATAGGACTAATGTGATGTATGGCTCAGAGCCAGAGGTGGGATTCTACCAGTTTGGACCAGTTCGGGCAAACCGGTACTTCCGGTGAGCATTTGGCCCCATCCACCCACCCTTCTTTCCTGTGTTTTATTTTGGTTTTTTTAGAGCACATCTGATTGGACGCACCTCAGCTGTTATTCACAGGGGCTTGCAGTAGAAGGTAAGTATTAGAAATGAAAATGGGCTGTTTTAAATGCTCAGCGAACCAGTTCTTACACTGGTTGAATCGCACCACTGCTTGGAGCTCAATATCAGATGCAAAATGAGGAACGGCTGTCATTTTTATGTCTTCCCCTGTAAGCTTTGCAGAGACATTTGCCCGGACGTTATTGGAAATAGAAGACATAAGAGATGTTGAGATAGCACTGATGCTAACTTCCGAGAAAGGCAGCAGCTTTGTAGCTTTGTAATATCAGTCTTTACATTCTACTTATGAAACTAGGTATGAAGGGCAGAGTTCATCTGTCCAGAGGGTGGGAAGGCTGGGGATGTGTCAAGAGGTCACTTTGTTGCACAAGACTTGGTGCCTCAGTTTTTCAAGTAAAAAAAATGAGTAGAGCAATTCAAACATATTTTTTAAAAATACATTGTAAGGAGTTACTCGTTCCAAAGTGATGCTATGTTTGTATCAGCAGTGCAGAAGATAGTTTGAATGTCGTGTAGCATACCGTGAACATCCCTCCTTTTGGTTCTGCCCCACCACATACCCATCTATTTTCTCATTAATAGTATGATGTATCTATTCTATTTTTAGGGATTCTATTACTGGGATTGAAGTACAGGTGGTCCTCATTTAGTGACCACAATTGGGACTAGAAAACTTGATCATTAAGCAAAGCGGTTGCCAAGAAAAACTGCAGCTGTGCTGACAATCTCTGTTGCTTTGCAGGCTTGTGAAGGTCATAAATGCGAGGATCGATCATACAAAGTTCCTTTTTCTTCGTTGTTGTAACTTTGGCGGTTGCTAAACAAGGCATCTACTAAATGAAAACTGCCTGTAAAGATACAGAAGAGGATTTCATAGCTGCAACCAGAAGGCTTACGAGGCTACATCTTCCCACATCTAAATACCTATAGAGACTCTCAGTCATCCAGGTCATGGTTGTCCCAAAAATGCTTTTTCAAAAGGCACCTGGACTTCGTTTTGTCTTGAAGATGTTTCACTTCTCATCCAAGACGCTTTTTCTATTCAGAACTGAACTGAACTGAACTGGATGAGAAGTCAAATGTCTTCAAGGTAAAACAAAATCCAGTTGCCATTCCCACACCTACAACCCTCCTTTCTAAGAGTAAGCAATTTTTGCTTTGTTGCATTGTTGGTCGCTGGTTCAATTTCCAAAGAATCATAACTTAGCTATCAAATGAATGCCCCAGATTTAAAAAATGTATATATTTTACTTGAACGTACATATTTCATGAAGGAGGTACAGGATGGAGGTTATTGAAAAGGGAAATAAGAAAGAAACAGCTTCCGATTAGTTTGGAAACAGATTTTGCATACTCTTCTTTCATGTCATTTTTTTTTAAAAAAAAGGAAGCCACAAGAATCAATAATGTGGTTAAATTAAAGTTTATTTCATGCTGCCTAAGCAACAGAATGCAATACTGTGAGCCATCTAATTAGAATTAAGAGAGCCAACCTCCAGATCAGTGTACCTGCTTATAAGTCTTGAACGGAATCTAAAGCCAAAGGGTTCATAAATAATTTGTAATAAAAATATGAGTCAGGCAAGGACCTAAAGCAGAAAAAAGCTAGAGAGCTTAAACAGGCAATGGATCACTTAAGCAGACAGGGAAAAAAATTAGTTTTTAACTATTGATCACCTGGTGCTTCCAAAACTTTCTTAAAGATGAAATATTAAAAAACCGAAGTAAAGCTTATGGTATCCCTGCAACAAGCTACAGTACATCCATTGATTCATCCATTGGAGGTTTTGGCTCTCATTGAATAAGAGATCATCTCAAGCCCAAGAAATATCTAAAGAGAACACAAGCAAGCACGTGTTCTTCAAGGATTCTCAAGGCTCTTGCATATGCCAGCTGCTTTGACTGACTTGTGGCTGACCAGCCTCATTTCCAGCACTGGTTGAGTAAAAGGAGTCAGGAAACATGGTAGGATCCAAACGCATGGCAGTGCTAGTTTCCTCTAAAGGAATGAAGCTATCAGGAGTTGCTGGAGGCAAGGCAGTGGCTTGAGGTGCATTTGGTTGCCCTTTACTTTGTCCAGCAGGGTTTAACAGATTGTTATTGGCATTGGGCAAGGCATCCCTTGGGTTGATATCTACAGGGATAACATTGTTCCCTCTGTTTGGAGGGTTGGGCCCTAGTTTAACTCCTTTGGGAACTTCAGGCTGTTCTGTAATGCCCAGTTGATCATCTTCGACTGTGTAATCTCCTGGTTGGCCACTGTTCAGTGGCATATTTCCAAATCTGCCATCCATGGGAAAGCCATGGGGGCCTGCTGCTCGATAGGCTGGTGCACCAAATCCTCCATCCTGGAAAAAACAATGACGGTACATGAATGGCCAGGAACTCTCTGAAGATCCAGATGACAATCATAGGGAGAGTGATGGTAATGGGAGTGGAAAGTGTTGGCTTTGGGGCTTAGCAAGCTGTCCTAAATGCAAACTTGAGGAATGAAAATCTAAACTGTTTTTATGCAGTGGGAAAGGTTCCAGAAAATAAATACTGTGTTAACACTGAAACCTTAGAGGATAAATGACAGATGACATAGCTAGGCTGAGATGGAATTTGAAGTTGGGCCATTAATCAGATAAGAGCTGTTTTTTTTTGGGGGGGGGGGGGGGGGTATACTTCTACCAACAATTAAAGAAAAAGGAAGAGGGAAACCAAAAAAAAAAAAAGAGCAAAAAAAAAAAAAAGGAGAGCAAAAATCAATATCAGAATCTGGATTCATTTGGAGCTCAGCCAAGACCTATCAAATCAATTCTTGAGAAGTAACTGCATGAATGAATGCAGCCCTGCTGTTTCTGTGAATAAGTAAACTTAATTGTGCAATCCTTATTCCCACATTAGGTATCATGCTGCTCAGCGCCAGTAAACTTTGAGGGTCTTTTTATCAGGCAAAAACATATAGTAGTGAATATAAACAACAGAGAGGGGAGAAGTCAGATACCCATTTACAGAGTGCTTCAGAGGCGAGTGTTCTCCCTATTCTATGAAACATCTACTTGAAACTGCTGGGAGAAATCATTCATCTGCTCAGAATGAGGTAAAGTCAATATCTAGTGCTACAGCTCCATCCTGAACCCAATGGAAAATGCAGGAGAAGTCCTCTGACAGTGCCTGGAAACTTTCAGGATTTGAATGGGGGAAGACAATTGAAGCCCACTCATGGAACTTTTCAAAGATTGAGAATCACTGGGCTACGGAACGCCTACTAAAGCATTCCCACATTCCAAGAGCTATCAGGAGGATCCCAGTGTTTGTTTGTTTATTATATTTTTTATGTCACCCATCTCCTATATAAGGTGACTCCAAGAGTCTTACAAGTTATAAATGTTAGAGGTTCTCGGTGTCATCTCCTCTACTATGGAATACTTTCTCCCTCAAGCAATTATAGTTCCCATCCTCATGATGATAAAAGGATGGAGTTTTTTTTATCAAAAAGTTTTTGGAGACTGATTCTATGTACTTACTCTCTCTCTCTCTCTCGCTCCTCCCTCCCTCCCTCCTCCCTCCCTCCCTCCCCCCCTCTCTCTCTCTCTCTCTGTGTCTCTGTGTCTGTGTGTCTGTGTGTCTGTGCGTGTGTTATGGACATGTATATTCTTTATTCAATATTAACCATTATAATTTTGTTTTGAAGTTTTAAAATATAATTTTATTGCTATTTTAATATCTATAAACTGCCTAGAGTTCATGAGGATTGAGAGGGTAGATAAATTGCATACAAATACATTCTGGACCTTTTTATGTTGACTATATTTATATCACTTTTATTTATTATTGCTTTATTTGTAGGTGAATTGCAAAAATTTCATAGGTTGCAAATCACTTCTTTAGAAATCAACTCTAAACTTCTGGACTATTATATCCATCCATCCATCTATCCATCCATCCATCCAACCATCCATCCCAAGGCAACAAATACTTTGGATTCCATCAATTTCATTAGAAGAAATGAGCATGTGCTAAATTCTTCAGAAATTGGTTTAATGTAATAAAATTTATCAGTACTTGATCTTACATATGCCAAGGAAATGCTTGTCTTATACAAGCTTTCTTATCAATGCTGTCCATGGAAATATTTCATATTTATAATAATGCGGGCCATTTTTTCCCTCAGAGAATCTTTGGAAGGTGAAGGACAGAGGCAGGGGTGGGATTCTACCAGTTTCGCACCTATTCGCTAGAACCGGTTGTTAACATTCTAAGCAGTTTGGAGAACCGGTTATTAGAAGAAATTACTGGCCTAATCCTGTAAGGAAGGCAGGAAGGAAACATTCTGGTGTTGCTTACAGAAACTGCCTCTCCGTTAACCTTTATTACATTCTTAGCAGGACTAGACTTCCTGTCTCAGGAATTTCTCTGGAATTTTTTTCCCCTTCCTTTGCTGGTACTTTGCTTGTGTGGAGTGACCATTCAAAGTTACAATGGCACTGCAAAAAGTGTCTTTTGACCATTTTTCACACTGACAACTTGCAGCATCCCCACAGTCGTGAGAGGCCAGGAGAGGAGATGCATGCCTCGATGTGAGTGATATTGAGTTAACATGCCACCAAGCCACGCCCACCAACTAAGCCATGCCCACAGAACCAGTTGTTAAAAAAATTGAATCCCACCCCTGGACAGAGGCCATTCTTCAAGGGTCTCCAAGTGCGTGTATAAAGTTCCCACCCCTTTGGAGCAAAAGACTATATCTTTGCTTTTCAGAATTATTCCCACTTATATATTTATCCTTGGCCATAATATCTTCCCCTCCCTCCATTATACTTCACGTTTATATTACTAAGGTAAAACCCTTGAAGCTTGATCTGCACATCCATTTCTCAAACTTGGGTTGTATGACTGGTTATCTTTAAAGAGAAAGTCGATTTTTATCCCTTCTTAACCCATATGTAAATGAGTATGATGTCCACAACTTACCTGCATTTCTTCTGAGCTTACTATTCCTAATCTGGTAGGAGCCTATATAAATAATAACATGTATATAAGCAAACCACATATCAGGAATGAAACATGACAGTCTAATATCAACAGAGTCCTAATTTTTCAGGTGCTATTGTTTTGTTGCATGCAATAGTGCGCATTCCTGTATTACCAACAACAACAAGATCAATGCTCCTAAACACATTTTTCTTTTCTTTTGAAATATTATGTTATCTGTTGAAGAAAAAAAAACTGCAGGTATTGTGGTAAGTTCAACTGTTCTCCATTTTAAAAGCTGTAAATTAAAAATCTGAAATGTGAGCCTTTCAGTGGCCACAATAACTTGAATAATAATCATTACCTTTGCCATTCAAACATCTGGATTTAAACTTGTTTATATATTAATATACAGTATAGATCATGTATTACAGTTTTCCCCAACCTGACCAACTTCTAAATGTATGAATTAATTTCCAGAATTCTGAACAATGGATATGTTGGCGAGAAAATTATGGGAATTTAAATGCACATGTAGTATTCCGTATCTCAGGATGCACATAGACAACTCTCTTAACACACATCTGTAAACGATGTATAGTAACATTATTATTGTAAATAAATGTTAGTCTGTGTCTATGTTGAGGAAAGTGTGAACTATGACTAAGTCACCTCTTTTTATTTTTTGCTCACTTTTAGTGTGACCTACAAAATAATAAATGGGAACACACAGAAGCAGATTAACAGATGGGAAGGAAACTACAGAGGTGGGCCAAGTTTAAGATTCATATAATCCTTTCCATCCCTATGGGGAATGTGATTTATTGCACTTTTTCAATGGAGATTAATCTATTCCTAAAATCTAATTCTGGGTGTTCAAAGTTCAGTTGTGATGCTGCTGGTTCCCACTATTTCCTTTATTTTTTTAATTCAAATTTTTTACTTTATTCAAAGAAGATTAAACTACAAAATACCAAAATATTTTTTTAAAAAACCAAAAGAAAAACAAAAAAACAAAAAAGACATTAACAAAAAAAAGGGTCCTAAAAAAACCCTAACTCATACACACATAACATCCTCCCTACTTGAATGCTAATTAGTATAATACAGCTATGTTGGTTTGTCACCCCTTGCAAAACAGGCTAAAAGTATTTTAAACCATTAAACTACTACATCTACTTACAAGTTAGCTTGTCATCTATAAACTATATCAATAACAAAGTGGTTAACAGAAAAAACAATAATAATGAGTATATTATGTAAAAATATAAAAGTATTAAAAATTGTGAACAATAATAAAAAAGACAATGTTGAAATTCCAAAAACCTCTGTTAATGAACTGTTTTTGTAATCAACTGGTTCCACTATTTCCACGTGGTATTTTATACAGAATACACAGAAATACAATTATTTATCCCAAATGTGATAAGTCTGAAGGTTTTCATTTGGGGTAGATTAATGTTAAGTACTTACTCCTTTATTTGTTACATAAGACATGTATTGCAAATTGGGATAAATCTAGATAAAAGAGACAAGAAATAATTAAACTGATTTTAAGATGCTTGTTTTGTTTTAATCTATATAAAAATAGAAAGGAAAATACCTTTTTAGCCAGAACAATAATTCATCTTTATCCACATCCTGGCTTTAACAGGTATCATAAACATTCTTAAGGAAGTACCTCACTATTTATTTTCATTTATATTCTGCCTTTATTATTTTTATAAATAATTCAAGGCAGCTAACATATCTAATATGCCTCCCCTCCACCGATTGTCCCCATAAAACAACCCTGTGAGGTGGGTTGGGTGGAGAAAGACTGGACCAAGGTCACCCAGCCGATTTTAATGACTAAGTGGGACTGAAATTCATGGTCTCCCTGTTTCTAGCCTCGTGACTTAACCACTTGACCAACTGGCTCTCTTTATTAAGATTATGCCATTTTTTTTCAGGAATGCATAAGAACCAGGAAACTTAGAGGTGGTATTCAGCAGGTTCTGACCAGTTCTGGAGAACTGGTAGTGGAAATTTTGAGTAGTTTGGAGAACCGGCAAATATCACCTCTGACTGGTCGCGCCCCCATCTATTCTCTGCCTCCCGAGCCCCAGCTGATCGGCTGGGTCTTCTTTGATTGCCCTGCACAGGAGAACGGAGCTGGAAAGCAGGTTAGTGGGGTGGGGAGGGAATGGGATTTTGCAGTATCCTTCCCCTGGAGTGGGGTGGGAATGGAGATTTTGTAGTAACCTCCCCCTGGAGTGGGGTGGGAATGGAGATTTTACAGTATCCTTCCCCTGTCATGCCTACCTAGCCATGCCCACCAAGCCACACCACGCCCACCAAGCCACACCCACAGAACTGGTAGTAAAAAAAATTGAATCCCACCACTGATCAGGATTATGTTGGAACTCTTAATTATTTAATAAACTCATGGATCAAGTTCTTTCTAGGGAAGAATCATATTTGGGGAAAAGTTGCTTTGTTAAATATGTTTGCATTTCGGAGAACTGAAATGTTTGAGACAAAAGATAATTTGCAAATAAGTATGTCTACATTTGTGTGTTAATGATGGAAATGAAATTCCAATGATGGAAATTCAACTGTATTAACAATAAGATTTTAGTTGGGGAACCAACTTACAGATCGTTGCTGTGGTTGTTCGCCTGTGTTTTGTTGGGTTCCAAATAAGCCAGGGTAGATCTTTACAAAAAGAAAGAAAAAGTTAAATGGAAAAAAATATATGAGGGATTACAATACATACTGCCTTAACACAGAAAAAAAATTCTAAAGAACTCGTCATATGGCACACTGAATGTGTGTGTGTGTGTGTGTGTGTGTGTGTGTGTGTTCCTGTGTCTGTTTCTAAGTAGTTGTTTTGGTCAAGATGTTTGCCTCTGTTATAATTCTCATAGTTAAAATATACTTACTTGGCTCAATGTCCCTGAATAGTCTTGTATAGCTGGTAACTATAGTTAATTAAAGAAAACATTTGATATCATTAACTTGACAACATGTAGAAAATAAAGAATAAACTAAGCAAAGCTTTCAATCTAAATATAATTGTGTGTTGTATTATAAGTGTTTAAATTCTTGGAAGAGGCTTAAAATCTAGAAGAAATGTTTATTTGTATCTTACAGAGCAATTCAGAAACGGATATATAAATGAACCACATTTATTTAAGAAGGAATTTGTTCATAATGTAGATTTGAATTGTTGCAAGATCACATTCAAAGAATCTACATCAGTCAATTTACTTAGTAAATACCATCTTCCAAATATTTTCTTTGTCTTTGATTGCAAATGTGTCTAATTTACTGTAATGCAGTCAACATTTCTTTTAAAAAGTTTATTAACGAAAAGTCTTCTGGAAAAGGCACATATTGATTAAATTAAAAATCCAAAATGTATTATACCAGGAAAAAAAAAAATATGTGGTTTTCTTTGTAAAAAAAAAAAATATGTGGTTAAAAGGAAAAGGAAAATTAAAACAAGAAACATGCATTAAAATATATACACATTTTAGACTGTCCCCCCCCCTTGCAAACTATGTAACATGAAAAAAGTGAGAACAATCAGAATTAAATGATTCTTTCAGCCTTAATTAATCTTGTGCCTTCATATTCTTTATAACCTCCATGCCAAAGATTAGTGCTTAATGATTTGATCACAGATAGTCCTTGACTTACAACTAATTGCTTAGTTACCAATCAAACTTATAACAGACACCCCAAAAGCTATTTATGATCCAATTTTGAAGTGGTGATGGCCTCCCCCCTCCATTGGCACATCATTGCATTTTGGCACTTGACAACTGGATCACCTTTAAGACCATTTCTAGTGTCCTACGGTCAAGTGACTGTGATTTTCAACTTTTTTTGCCAGCTTCTGGTATTTATTTATTTATTTTCCAGCAAAAAATCCACTCACTGGGTAAAATGAATTCGCTTCACAGCTGCCACAAAAAATGTCAAAATTTTGGATCTAGTTACGTAATGCCTTATGAATTATACAATGACTTACAACCATAATTATGGGCAGTCATAAGTCGAGGGCTATCTGCACTGGAGATGCAGACAATTCCCACTCATATTAGAAGTATCGCAATTGCTTATCAAACTGACCTGTTGAGCATGTCTGTCCAATGATAGCTGCTGCTGAACGTCTGGCTGATTTCCTTCTGATAGAGACAACTGTTTTGGATGAAATGGTGGCTGGATATCATAATGTTGTATTTGGACTTGCCTTGTAGGAAGGAAATGGGTATAATGGTAATGAGGTTGGTCTTGTATCCCAGGTTGTTGGAGTAGAGTGGGTGTTTGAGATGGCAATGGAGGAGGGTGCACTGGCATTGTGTATTCATACTATGGAGTGATAAAAGATGAATAACCAGAAGAGGAAAGTTAAAATCACGAATGAGTCATTTCAGGCACACTGAAAGGCTGCATGAACAATGGAACTGACAAATGAATTTTGGGCTTATAAAATTCCATACAGTAATTTGTTTGCCTCCCAGATCAGAATTCTCAATTCTCAGGGCCATCAAAGTTTCCTAATAAGTGCCATGTCCCACCTAATATTTTTATTGATTCTTTTAATACAGGAAGCCACCATGTTGCAGAGAAAAATGTCAACATCTAGCACCTCATCAATTTTGAAGAATGTCCCAAAGATGCTTTTATTTTAAAGGCAACTAGACTTCCTAATTTTTCTTTAAGACATTGTGCTTCACATCTAAGAAACTTCCAGAACTGAAGAAGCGAAGCTTCTTGGATGAGAAGCAAAATGTCTTAAAGAAAAATCAGAAAGTTGCCTTTAAAATAAAAGCACCTTTGGGACAACCCTGACCTGGATGAATGAGACCCTCCATAGACAATTTTGAAAAATGACTCCTGTTAAGTATGATTTCAAAGCTTTTTCTAGACATTAAATAAGAAGGGAACTGCAATTCTGTGCTTTGTGTAAAGGTGAACCACAACCCCAGGATAAAGATATACTGATAGGAGTGATAGAAAGCATTTGGGAAAAGGACTAGATTCAATGCCTCTTAGCATTTTAGTAAATGGAAGTTTTGTGATTAGCCATGGCACACATCCATTCTGGGGGGACTGGACTGAGACTGATGTCACCTATTGCATGCAGAAGATAAGAAAGAGGTCATGCTGCTGAAAATCCAGGAAATTTCCAAAGATGCTTTTTCCAAAGGCAACTGGACTTTGTGTTTCCTTGAACATGTATTGCTTCTCATCCAAGAAACTTCTTCAATTGAAACTGGGTGTGAAGCAAAACATCTTCATGGAAAAACAAAGTCCAGTTGCCTTTTGAAAAAAGCACCTTTGGGACAACCATGACTTAGATGACTGAGAATCTTCATGGAAGATCCAGGGAATTATAGTTCCATGGAGGACCACAATGGGCGATATGGAATTCTTAAAGTTGGAATCCAAGAATATTCAGGAAAAAAAAAAACAGTCTAGGGAAAAAATATCTAGAAAGCAAAAAAAGAAGAGTTCTGTTTTAATACTGTAATGTTTCTGGGATATAATATCTTAAATTGCTTACCTGTTGGGTTTCATGTTGAGGTCTTTGCCGTATCAAGTAAAATGATGAATGTGATGGTAGGAAATTGTGCATCCACATTGAATTAAATGGATCAGCGTAGCTGTATGTCTGGCCATACTAAAAATGGTACGATTAAATACATTTATTCTGAAGCTATAATTCAGAGGCTAACAAGTTTGAACAGGAGTTAAATTCAAGCCAATATTACCAATCAGAATTAATTCATAATAATAGATAGTTGCTGTAATGGGTTTTCCACTTGATTCCTTTATGTATATATGGATACCAAATTCCTTTCTTTGATAATAGATCCATAAATTTAGCTAGATAAAAAGGGCCAAAGAGAAGGAAGAGGCACTACATACCTATTTATTAATCATTCTGCCTTTTGACAACACACAAGCCTCAATAAGGAAACAAATGAATTCAGCTTGGAACCCTTTCAATCAATATTATATAGTCAGTTTAACAAACACCCTAGAAATTCACTACAGGATATTTGACACAATAACATAAATTTCCAGAGTGTCTTCACGATTACTATATAAATAAATGAAGCGTGACAGAGTTAGGTTATGATTAAAATCAAACTACAGCACACAGTTGCTGGACAGTAAGAGTCATTGAGTCCAGAAGTACTTTCTATTGAACACAGAGTATTAAACTGAGCTGAATATCTAAGAAAACAATAGGATAATTCGGACTTATCCACACTTTATTGTTATTATTTTAAATTTATTAGTCACTGAACTCCCATAAAGATTTACTTGGGATTAAGTCATATGGAACATGGTAGGATTTCTTGAGAACCTAATCTGTAACTTGTTTATTAAAGAAGTATGTCTTATTGAACCTGATTAAAATAATTGTACATTGAAACAATTTCATGCTTCTCAATAAACAAAATAAATATTTGGTTTGATTGTAAACTTGGTTAAGACTAAGTTTACCCATAATCTTTTTAAAGATTTTGTGAGGTTTGGTCCTCATTCCCTAATCAGTGATCATTTCAGTACAGTTAATCAATTCCAATTCTTTCTAAAGTCAAAGGTTCCTTGCTTTGGATGTAAGTCAATAAATAGAAAAAGTCTGCAACAGCACCACCAGCTTATTCTCAAAACCATTAATATATTTTTCTGAAAAGAGGATATGTGGCATAACTGTGATTACCTGTGGGAGTACCTTTGGTATACTTGGTCCACCCAGCTGTCTCATTCCCTGTAAAGCAATATTTAAAATCTTCAATGTTATTGTAATCAGTATTTTCTATTTTGTGATGTTTACACGTCTTTTCAAGGCGCTCACAAAAAGTAGTTAAAAACAATAGCCTCCACTCACCCTCCAGCTAATGCAGCTTGTATTCAGAATTGTATTGCCTCTGAAACAGCCGTGTTTGATCACAATCCCATCTACACAAATTCTATTACATTCATCCCATCTCCTTTTTACAAGGCATCTTAGTTCTTTGCAGTCACAGGGGGTTAATTATGGACTGTGTGAAGAAGCATTTTCTTTTGTCTGTCCTGAATCTAATGCCAACTCATTTGTATGGGTGCCCCTACCTTTACATGTATAAAAGAGGAAGGAAAAACTCTTTCAGCTGTTGGACAAAAACTAACTCAAAAGGTGGGTGTTGAGGGAGCAGAGTTGTTCATATGCAATCTGTCCTTCTATGTGAAAATTACTGCCAAATTGTTTACTTCTGAGAAAACAAAGGTGGGTATGTACAACTAAATTGTCCTAGTGCACATAAAGGCCCCTTAACCATTTCTCTAGGGCAAGAATTTGTGGCATTGTCCTCAACTGCCCCCAACCAACTGTGAAGACATCCACTACACTAGTAGGCATTGAAAGTAATATTTTCCACCATGCCTGAGCAAAAATAGCTCTGCCTAGTTTGCCTGTCATGTTTCATTTCACTGCAGGCAAATATCTCTTCTCCTTGATCATTGGCTGTTTGCCCTCCACAGCTTTTTGGTCCTGGGCTGCTGGGTGCCGGGTTGCCTGCCCTTTATCCTCTAAATCTGTTCTTTTTTTTTTTTTTTCATTTCACTGGTGGCCTTCCCTCCCTCCCTTCCTTCCACTCCTCCAGTCCATGGAAAAACCTCTCTTCATGGAACCGGTCGCTGGTACCCCAAAAGTTGGGGGCAACTGTTCTAGACAACATTTTCAGAAGGGGTTTACCCAGGGGTGGGCTTCAAAAATTTTAGCAAAGGGTTCTCTGCCCAGTTGCTGGGTGGGCATGGCCATTGTAGGTGTGGCCTAGTGGCTTCCTGAACCATGGCGGGGGGTTGTTTTTGGCCTCCCCGAGCTCCAGAGGCTTTGCTTGAGCCTCTGGGAGGACAAAAACACCTTCCCCAGGCTCTGAAGGCTCTCCGCAAGCCGGAAATGGGCTCATTTCTGGCCTTCTTGAACTTCCAGGAGGCCCGTTTTTCACCCTCCCCGAGCCTCCACGTGAGCCCTGCACTTACCTGCATCCAAAATGGGCCACGTGGAAGGGAGGGGCAAGTTGGGCGGGGCCAGCCAGGAGTGGGATTTGGGGGTTCTCTGAACTGCACAGAATCTTAGCTAGGGGCTCTCCTGAACCCCTGTGAGCCCCCGGCAGCCCACCCCTGGGTTTACTCTTGCATGCCTCCTTGGTCTAAAAGAGAGGGAGGGGTGCAGGGTCACCCAGAAAGGACTAGAACTTGCAGCTTCTTGGTTTGGAACCAGGTGCCTGAAGCACTATACTAACTCATTCTTAGTCAATGGTATAGAAACATTTAAACAAAATAATTTAGAAACACGTTTTGAGTGTGTGTGTGTAAATCTTTGGAGATTACACACATACTTATATACATACATGCTGTTATGTTTGGAGAATAAGGAGACCAGACATCTGACCAGTGACTTCAACTCTTTAATAATACAGGAATCAGAATGGAACAGAGCAATGCTATGGGCAGCAGTAACCCTTTTATAGGGTTAGCTGCTGCCTTATTAACCAATGAAAATGTACAACAGGTTCCAACTACTGACCAATAAGGACAGTCCCAAAAGTGACCAATCAGGGACTGGTTCTGGCCCAATCCCAAGTTGTTGTATAAGGACCAATCAAGTGTGCAGGTTTTCAACCCCTAATTTGCATTTAGGTTATTCACTTTTATTGATTCACAACACATGCATACACAGACACAGATAGAGACCCATAAACACACAAATACATACCTCAAGGCTTATACTACCCATTCCAGGAATCCCAGCATGATGAGGCAGTATCTATAGATATGCAAGATTAAGAATAATTTATGTGACCAGAGGTGACACTGTTTCAAAGAATATGAATAATATTACTGAGAACTGCTGGGGTGGGCTGGGGTGGTGACATGATGATTTCATTGGAGGATTGAGGTATGACATTGAATATGATTTCTTCTTTGTTATTCTTCCTCCTCCTCTGTTATTAGAGGAAATTGCTGTCATATTTCAGCAATCTAGAGTAATTTATGGGGCCCAAAGAGGGAAAACTGGCAACCAACCCACTGGCTCGGTTTAAATTACTGAACATCAAGATGAACTCTGGATTTTTAAAGTATAGGACTTCAGGTTTCCATGACTGGGATGAAATATTTTAGATCAGAGTTTCTTCAGCCTTCTTAGTGGATCTTTAATTAAAACAATTAGAAAGGTAAGGCAGATTTAGAAAATGAGGACTTGTTTACCTATTGAAAACAATTGATGAAAATTTCAAGGAAACTATTCTAAAGTACAATGGTTGTTCAAAAGTCCTCATTACAGGAAATACAGAAACCATAATTAATGCTAGAAGCACAAAGGAGCAGAAACCACTGCCGTATAGAACCATGGTAATATACTGTAATTTTGATATGAAAAAGAACCCAAAGCTGGGATTTAGGAACTATGTCTGGAGATTACTAGATTTGATTAAAAAAAAAAAAGATCTAGCACAGTATTTTTCAATCATGGCAATTTTAAGATATGTTGACTTTAACTCTCAGAATTCCCCAACCAGCATCCTGACTAGGGAATTTTTAAAGTTGTCTAGGCTGAGAAACACAATCTAACACAAAACAGGTGACCACATAATATTCATTATTTCTGTTTTTATTAAGAAACGGGTTCATTTTAACTTTATTGGCTATAAGTAACAGTTTGAGATAAAGTTGTAAGAATTACCGGCAAAGCAGAACATGCTCCTAAAAGGCATAACACAAATGTCCATTGTTTCATAATTGGGATGTGGCCCATAAAAGGGGACTAGAAGGAACTGTAGAGGGTGATGAAATCCTGGAAGGAGTAAAAAAAAAAAAAAAAAGGACAATATTTAATGAAACAGTAAAATCACCAATATACAAACATCCTATTATTATTTTTCCCATCCTTACTGCTAGTTTGACAGAAAGATGGAAGACAAATTTGTCCCATCAACTATTCTTCCACATTAAAATTCTTAACTGCATTAATAATTCTATCACATTAAGAATTAATGTGAATGGCAAGTTCAGGGTAGCTCAGTTAGTGCATTTCCGATGTTCATCAAAAATGTTTTAGGTATTTAGTGGAGGACAAGTATTTAGTATTTAGTGCAGGCCCTCTACAGAGGAAGATTTGTCTTTTGTTGTCATCTCAACTTGGTTATAAAATGGTTGGCATGACCTTAAGGGGAAAAAAACAATTAAACCAGGACAGGCCTGCTTTGGGCATGCTTCCTTCCAACACTGATGCAAACACACCAGGCCTTTGGGGAGAGGCTTCCAAGGTCTCCTTGACTCACTGCCAGAAAGTGATAGGAGCTGGCAGAGAAGGGAAATCAAATCACGCAGGGCTATGCGACCACACAGCTACCAGTTGACCTTGGTGTAATCACAGCCATGGATCTGTATTGTACAAACTAAGCTATTTCTTAGGGTGCACCTTTGAACTTAATTTTTATTTATTTGTATGCCGTCCTTAATCCCAGAGGTGGTATGCAGCAGGTTCTGACCAGTTCTGGAGAACCAGTAGCAAAAACATTGAGTAGTTAGGAGAACCGGCAATTACCACCTCTGACTGGCCCACCCCCATCTATTCTCTGCCTCCCGAGTCCCAGCTGATTGGGTAGGTCTTCTTTTGTTGCCCTGCACAGGAGAACAGAGCTGGAAAGCAGATTAGTGAGACGGGGAGGGAATGTGGATTTTGCAGTAACCTTCCCCCAGGAGTGGGGAGGGAATGGGGATTTTACAGTATCCTTCCCCCGGAGTGGGAAGCCATGCCCACAAGCCACGCCCACAGAACTGGTAGTAAAAAATTTGAATCCCACCACTGCTTAACCCTGACTTGGGCTGAGAGAGAAAGTGACTGGCCTAAAGTCACCCAGTTGGCTTTCATGGCAAAGATAGGACTTGAACTCAGGTCTCTAGCCCGGTGCCTTAACCACTAGTCCAAAATGGCCTTCTTAATGTATTGTATTGTTTATTTAATTGAATAGTCATAAGACCTTATCAATAACATAACGTAAATATATAACAAGACAAAATACAGATAAGTTAGATATATAAAAATACAGTAATGAAAACATATGTGGAAAACCAGGGAGTCAGAAATCGGATAACCCTAACCCTAACCCCAACCCTAACCCTAACCCTAACC